ATATATATATATATATATAATATATAGAGAATTAATACGACGTACGTACAATAGCATCTTCTTTGTTCGTTTAGAAAAGAATGTTTTTCAAGAAGCTAAACTACACAAAATAAACATTTATTATTTTAAAATAGTTATTTAATAAAATGCTGAAAATTAGGAGTGCCTCATCAGGGCCCACTCAAAATCACAAATATCTATGTACATAATTTGGATAAAATATTAAAACTACGTGTATCTAAATGAAATAGTATGGAACATACGATAATGAATCAAGAGCTACATTTTTATCGAACGAAAACAAGATGAGATTATGTCTACTTTTCGAAGTTAGATTTATATATAAGTTTATGTACGTAAATATCTTTCCAGAATGATTATTGATTTATTACTTTTCTGTAAGTATTAAAATGTAATTTTTTAAACTATTATTTATTCTAAACTCGTTTTTGAGAAAAATCTGGTAAGATTTGTGTGCAGTTAATCAAAAAAGCATCTGCGAGCCTTATCTTTCTTTAAGTTATACGTGAAACGTTACATTTTTTCCTTTCTTAGGGTGCGTTCCGAATTATGCATGAAGTGAATGATCATTTTATCCTTCTTTATGATTTGGTGATCAACAAGAATAAATGATGCATAATGTATTTAATTTAAAACGCACCCTTATTTCATCATTATCTACGTTATAGAATTCTACACACTTTAATTTCGGTACTTCATTCCAAATAGCACACGTTTATAAAGTTAACAAAGCGTTAATAAAGCGTTAAGAAAGCGCATATAATTGCTTTTTTAGCGCTTTGCAAATACTGCTATGTTACTTGAAATTATATAAAAAAATTAGACATTTCTATGGTAATTCGATTTACTAAAAAACCTTAAAGAAAAATACAATACATATTATTGGAATAATATTTCGTAATTTTAGGGGGGTATCAAAAAACATGTATCTAGAATATCTTGGTATTACCCTTTTATTGTAGAAGATCTTGTTTGAATTGTAGTTGCGTTTTAATCAAAATTTATATTATCTTATATATACATATACATATGCGTGTGCGCGCGCGCGCGCGCGTGTGTGTGTGTGTGTAAATATTATTATTTTAATACTCTTTATTATTTTTATATTATTATCTTTACATTATTAATCTTGTGTAAATAAATTGTATCTTAGTATTTTCAAAAAAATTTTCTTCTCTTGTTAAATCAAAATAACACGATTTTCTACAATTAACTTTCAATTATTTTGATATCCATTTATTTTAAATTTTAAGACCAAATTTTTTTTAACGAATGACACTGTATTTCACCATTCTCAAATGATCACAATAAAAATAATCAGATGAATATCATTTTTTGGGGAAGCCATGCGCTGCCTGTAGCATAACCGACATGTACTTATAGAAATGTTCATTAGAATAATAAAAACTTGATTTTATTGTAGAACAAACGTGGTACCAATCTCGCAACGCCTTGGTAAAAATAATGATCAGATATCGGGTGACTATCGATCAGAAGAATATTTAAATTTTACGAACCACAGTGAACAATGAGAAGTCACCGATCTGCGAAGTTAACGACTACGATAAATGTTTTGTCGAAAGTAAAAATTAAATGATATTTTGCGCCGACGCAATGCATATTATTTGCGGTCTAATTACAAGATATTTTTTCTCTCAGCTTGTCCTTTATTACTTGTACTTTATCAAATTCTTTTATATTTAACATTTATCAGTTTATCTTATATCTCAATTAGTCTCAATTAAATATACAATCGAGATCAAAATTGTTCTTAATCAATATATTTTAGCTTCTCCCCTTTCCCTGACAAATATATGTAAATTGATTAAATTTTAATCAATCTTTTGAAAGGAGATATATAATTTGCATCTTGATTAAAAATTAATTTAAAAATTACTAGGAAATGATTACCGATTTCTGTATTGTATATTTGTGTGTGTGTGTGTGTGTGTGTTTATAAATGTTTCTATAATATGCTGATGTTTACCATCAAATTATATTTAACTAAAAATTGAATATATATTAAAGATATTAAAATGATAAAAAAAACAATTTTCCTTTTCATCTTTATAAAAAGAAAAATGTTAAACATAGAAAATAGAGAGTTTTTTTACTTGCGTGATGTAATATTAGTAAATTAGTGTTTAGTAGTCATCATGAGAAACCGTTGCAG